TTGAGTTCATCATCTGAATCTGGCATGAAATGCTACTTTGCTATAGTTTTTGATCAACTTTTTGTGTATACTTTTTCCATTGGGAGTCTGTTGTTTTGTTAATGTTAATTATCTTTTCCTTAGGTAGTTTTGATACACTTGTACTTATCTGGTGGTCTTTGAGTATAGTACTTTGTGCTATTTGAAGGATTAGCACAATGTAATTACTATTAGTTATTGAGTGAAAGTCTTTATTGTTGAACTGAAACATGTTGTTTGCTATACTGTAAGACCCCCAAATGTAATCAATCCTATTAGAACTTGATTTGTTTTTCCAAGTGTGTAAAGTCTCTGTTGGTTCCCATAGTTGTTGTAAGTCTATAAGGTTTCAGTTGTTCATATAGTCAAATAGTTCAATTTCTGAATTATTTGATCTGGTAAATTCTGTTATACTATTTAATGACTTATGGTCTGTTCTGGGATTTGCTATAGCATTGAAGTTACCCATGATAATGATTTCATAGTTTCTTTGTGAGTATACTTGCAAGATCTTGTATTTTCTTCTGCAAAGTATGGCTCTGTCTTTTGTCACTGGATAGATATATTTGTGCAATCCATATTTTATATCCCTTATTTAGGAGGTTAATTGCTATAAGATGATCTTCGATCTTATCTATAGATGCTACAAATTTCTCGATGTTTTTGGGAATTATTAATAAAACTCCTGTACTCCTGGAGTTGTTTGGTTCTGTGCTTGAAAAACACTTGTATTGTTTTTGGTCTGCAAAAGCAAAATGTTAGTTTTCTTTTGAGAGTTTAATTTCACATAAACCCATTATATCAATTTTTCTTTTCAGTAGTTTTATTATTAGATTGGCTTGATCTGTCTCTCGATTGATTCCTCTAATATTGTGTGTGCCTATTGTTATGCATGATGTTTGATTGTTATGATTATTTGAATTTGTTAATATGAGATTTTTTTCATGGTTTTTATTTAGAAATACTGTTTTTTAATTAGATAAGAATTCATCTATATGTGTGATATTATCAGTATTACTTGTTATTGCTGAAGAGGTAGGTTGTATTGATGATACTTGTTGTATGTTAAATAGGTTTTGTTCTTCAGCAATGATTATGGTTTCAACTGATGTGTCTATTTTTAGAATCTATAGTAGGATTTTTTTCTACTATTGTGACTTTCTTCCAACTTGTAAAGGCACTCGTTAATTCTTTCCAGTACTCTTTGGATCTGTTGCCAGAAGGAATTTTCTTTTCTTGTTCTGCTACTGTCACGTTTTTTGTTTGTATATATTTTGTGGAAGGTTTTGGTTTTGCTGGACTGTTTCATTTCTATGTTCAAGAGTTCTTCCTCTTCTGATATAATACTTATATTATCTTCTTCCTTTGTATCTAAACTCTTGAGATTTGTATGTTTTGTAAATTTGCTTTCTCAAGCCTTGTTATTTGTTTTGGTGGTAATCTTTGTGTTGTCTTTTGTACTCCACCAAGTTTTGCTACCAAAGAGTTCTATATGGGATCTCAAGGCTTTGTTCAGATCTTTTGTATTGAAGAAGCCTAGAATGGCGAAGCTTCTTTTTTTTTTGTTCTGCTATTTGTTGATATATGTATGGTTTTGATATTGAGATGTTTGGTTGTACTTATTATTTTGGTAGCTGAGGTTTCCTTGTTTGTACCATATAGCTTAGTTGTGATGTTGTTTCGTCGTGTCAGGGTCTCGATGTAGTTTTGATATGATATAATTTTTGTCATTGTTGTTTCCATTGGTATTGCCCATGTTTCTTTTAGATTTATTAGTAATGTTGAAAATGTAACTCTTGCCGACTTGAGATTGTTATTGCCATTCTTCATCTATATATATGAGATCATTCCGTATTTGGCTATGGCACCTTTGAGTCTCTTGATTGAAAAGTCAGAAGGTATATTCATTATAATAACCTTTTCCATGCCCATTGTGATGTCTGGGGGGTTTTCGTCTTTGGAGGAGGTTATGTTACTTGATTCTTCTTCATGCAAGGTTTGGATTGTTATCTGAGGTTGGTGAATTAGGAGTTTTTTCTTGCATTCCAGCATATTGTTGGATTTCTGAAAGTGTAGAACTGTCCATTTGCCTTTCCTATAACTCTGACTTGAATTCCTTTATGGAATAAGGGAACTTTAAGAAATTTAGTAATATTTTGTAGTTGCTCTACTCTGTTTTTGCCAAGAATGGTACCACATTTGATTCTTAGTTGATATGGACTGTTATGTTCTGACAGATTGAATCTGTTATATTCAGAAGTATTTTTTGGGGCATATTTTTTGTATTTTGTTTCTACAAGTAATACTCTGTTGAATTGTTCCAGGATAATAAATTTAAAGTCCTTTTTTCCTTTGCTAAGCTTGGTTAGGCACCTTTTCATGTCTTCTTCGAATTGGAATTGGACAATATACTATCTATTTCCATTTATAAAGGGTATTTGTATAAGTTCATACTTATCCTTGGATAATTGGAGAAGATTGGTAATATATTTGATTTGCTCCTCTTTGGAGTTTCCTGATGTGTTGGCTGCAAGTGCTCTTATTTTAAAATCACCTGATTTGCTAATAAAAAAAGGATTGGTAGATATGTATTGCCTATTTCTTATATAATAGCTTTGGACAGATTTTATATAGCTCCCTAATGATATATAAATTAGTATTTTTTCCTCCTCTTTCTTAGATTCTGATACTATCTCCATTTCTAGGTGATTGGAAACTTCTTCTTTTGTTAATATGGGCTTGTTCTTGGGATCCTTTTTCATTTGTAAGGCTTCATTTTATGTTGTTATAGCCATAGTATTGTTGGGTTCTATATGTTCTTGTAGCGGATATATATGGTCTTCAACATGTTGTTCTTCTTGTTGGCTTGAGGGTCCTGCTTGTTTGATGATATTCAGTATTTGCTAAATTTGCTGTAGATTCTCTATTATATATTTGTTCAATATTTCAGCTTCGAGGTTATTATGTTTTCAAATTTGTTCTATGTATTTTTTAATAAATACCCATTTTACTGCTGTTGAAGCATTGATGTTAGTAGTTTTGCTACTACTGTGTCTAAGACTGTAATATTTATTATTGTCTCAAGTTTTAAGAGTTTTGAGAAGGAGTTGTTGTAGCTATCTTTGAGGAGTGATTTAATCATTACTAATTATGAGTATTATGATTGTCTTTCAATATTCTTAAGTACTCGATGATCTGATTTTCTATTGGTTATTGGATATTCATTTCTGATTGGATATCAGACGTGTGTTATTATTGTTGTTGATCCATGGGTTCTATATATTATGTAACTAGATGTTGACGTGTTTTGCTTATAATTTAATTAAGAGAAGTTGAGAAGACATGTATCTATTTCCGATTTAGTTGTTGTTTGTTTATTTATTTGTTGTTGTTTTTAGGTGTGGAATATAATTAAATCTTAATTTGAATTCTATAAACAAATGTATTTGTTTTCCTATTTTGAGTATGGAGAAATGCACACACGTGCTTGTGTTACTGCTAATCTTTTGGTGAGGGTAAATTGGTTTTGATTTTTCAGTTCCAATGTAGATTAATCCATGTAACGATTGTTGTTTATATTGTAAAATTCTTTGGATCTTTTGTTTTTCTTCTAAACACAGTATTGAGAAAATCTTGATATCCTTCTGGTTTTGTATCAATGGCGAGGTTACCTGGTTTACCGGATGGGATCTGGCTGATACAAGATCCTACTAATGTCTAGGGAGGTATTTAACCTGGTGCATAACTGGCTGGTAGCTTGGGAAGTATGGTGCTGACTTTTTCTTTAATTTTACTATGAATTGTTTTCCTTGTTTTTTATTCTTTCTCAATAAGAAAAAACAAGTGTGTATCTATCTGTATTGAAATAAAAGAAAGGATTAGTATTCTTTTAAGTTCAATTATACCTGTTTACTGTATCCTGCTTTGGTTTTGGAAAAAACCAGTAGAGTATTTCTTTTTGATAAAAGTTTTCTTTGAGTATTTCCTTTAATGTTTCTTGGGGTTTTTTGTGTTTTTATCAAAAAAGGAAATTTTTAAAAATTTTGAGATTTGCGGGAAAAAGTTTCAATATTTTATTTATATTTAAAAATTAAAAAATATATATATATATATATTGTTATTTAATTGAACCATATAATTATATTTAAAATTATATTTAACAACTATTATAATATCTATTAACTATTTCTTTATAAATATTTATTTTACAAAATAATAATCTTATTTAAAATGTTTTTTAATTTTTAATTTTTTTATAACAGATAGTTTCTCAAGTTTTTCTTGTTTAAAGATTTTTTCAATATTATATTTGTTTTATAAATAATAAGCTAACATTTATAGTAATAATTAATATCTAATTATTGATATATAACAAGTTGAATTTTTACTATATTAATAAAGATAATAAGTAATGCTTAAAAAAAAAAAAAATTTATATGTATTATATACAGTATATTATATAATAAACAAGACAAATGTTAGTTATATTAACATAAACACAATATATTTTTATTTAAATTAATATTAGATTTTGGTTTTATATTTCTTTAAAAAAAATTTTTTTATTTTAATAATATCAATAGATTATAAAATATAATTTAATTTAAAATTTATAAAACAAAAATGTTTCTAATAAAAAAAAATGTTAATTAAATAGTATTTATTTAAATCAAAATTAATAACTAAAACAAATAAAATTATATCAAAAATCTTTGGTTGATTTTTAAAACTATTTTATGTATATTATAAAAATAATTATAAGTTTTTTTATAAAGGTCTCACATTTAATGTCTGTTTGCGATTTAAAAAAGTTTAATCTATGATTTATATTTTAAAGCAATACTGGACTTAACCGGAACTTTCAGTAATAAAAAAAATATCTGGATTTAGCTTACATGTACTGTATCTAGCAGCAATTTGGTCGTAAATTGTCAGAATCGATAATTAGGATTGTTCAGCATCAAACTTCAACTCAAAATTGCTTATACTACTCGAGTTTTAATTTGACGATCGTCATCCTGGAGTTGCGACTCACATGTTACAAGAATTTTCTCAATTGCCAATGTAGAGGTACAGCCTAAAGCCATCAATTTATTTTTCAACAAATATTATATATGACATACCATTATGGACTGGGTTATTATGATCGGACATTATTGACAGATTCTGATGTGCAGCACAGTCCATCAACGAATGTTGCATGTCATCCCATTGTGGAAATCCGTTTGAATCTTCTCATCATGACAAAGCGAATGAAAAGCGTATAATTATATTTATATATAGTTTGATATAATAATAAACGATTCCCCATTACAATATACCACAGATATTTACATAGAATCATAAAACAAAAAAAGTAAAGCTACTGCATTATATATATACTGTATATAGTACATTTACAGGAATAAGTATTGTTACTAAATTTTTAACTCAAATTCAATAGGATAGTGATCGGTGATACGTTTCGCTGCTTTCTTGATTAAGGTTTTATCCTCGGAATGCTTTTCCCAACTCTCGTCAAACCTCCACACACTGGTGTTTCCGATCCATCTTCGCTCATTTGCAACTTCGAACACAAATCGATCATACGCGGAATTCGGACCATCGGCAACTGTCGTATCGGTGGAATGTTGAATACCCCACATCAATTTATTTTTTTGCAATACTTTGTCGAGCTCGGCGCGTTGTTTTTTGTTAACATAAGCACCAGCCGCGTTAAAATCGCCCATCATAACGATAGGTTCGTCGCACCCTTCACCCGTTGAAGGTGATAACTCTTCTATCTCTTCCTTGGAATCCCTCATGGAAACAGACGATTTCCGTTTAGAATAGAAGCAGCAGCACAAATTGGTGCGTAAAGTGGAAAGCAAACGAGAGAAAAATCCCTGAGATTCTTTTTTTGCCTTTTCTTGCACCGATCTATCACGGTTACGTTGTCTCTTTTCCTGTATGATATCTCTTTGTAATTTCTTTTTTACATTCACGTATACATCAGTTACCAACACTTTGATTTCGTCGAACGCCTTTTCTGGCTGCGTATGACAACCAACTAGGGTGATTCTGACATTCGACTTTCTCAAATGTTCAAATCTTACTACATAAGGATCTCTAATAAACTTGTCACCTAACTTTTCGTCGTCATCGATAACATAACTATCCAAAACTTTCCATTCATTTTTCCTATACATAAAAAGGTACCTTTCTTGATATGAATTCCTACCTATGGGTTCGCTAGCAATATAAGAGTATGGTGTAGCTGGCGTAGACACCATTTCAGCAAATTCCTGCATAAGTTCTTCCTGGCTTTTCGGAATGTGAATTTCTTGACACAGGACAATATCGTATTTCATAAGAATATCAGCGATAATGCGCATTATCACTCGATTTGAAAATTTTTTGACTCCAAGTGCTTGGATATTAATTGAGCCAATTAAACTGATCTTTTTATTGTATACGTGAGGAATTGAAGAAGATGGTAATGGAAGCTTAGCCAACAACTCCACTTCGGCTGAGTTATCGACTTTTTCTTTTTCTTTTTCGACTTTTTTCTTTTTCGACTTTTTCGACTTGAGTGGCGGTGGTGCCAACATGCCAGGTTCCAATTTTTTTTTGGGCATTTTGACATATTTGTGAGTAGGATTGCGCACCACGATCTTTGGGATCATTTTTTTCTTCGGTTCTCCTTCATTAATATTGGTCTTACTAACAACTAATGTGTTCTGACGGCGAACAAATCGCCTCGTTCCTTTACGAACAACCTTTGTACCACCAACATTGGGACGACTATTTGAACTGGTTCTCGAACTATGGACTGAAGAGGATGTATATGACACAGTTTTGCTAGGACTCTTATTAGAACCCTTCTTGGAACGGGGATTATGTTTACTTGTAGCACCATGTGCGGATGATGATTCTGTTGATTTTTCCTTTGGGCGTCCTCTACGAGGACTTGAAGTATTTTCATCTGGTGACTCACTCTCTTCACTATCGGAGGAAGGTATATACTCCTCGTCGCCGCTCTTTCGGGGTTTTGGAGGCATTATTTTCGAAGTTAAGAGGCAGTATCCTTATGCGTAGAATGGTAAATTAACTTGAGAAAAACGAATCGAGTTAATCATAAAAGAAAGAAAAGGTTGTGTGGTTCTTCGTTAATTGCTGAGGAATATTGAATTCAAAGAAACTAATCAAGGACATATAAAATCCTTATATTACCTTTATTCGGAGATATTAAACTAATGCCTGAAAAAGTGAAAAATTATCTTCTCTTCTCCGGAACGCTACAAGAACTTATAATTTCTTGCACGTTTCTGCATAATACTGTGATAAAAAAGCGATTAAATTTGTGTAACTTAAAAACTTCCCCGCAATCTCCCTGCAATCTCACTTAACAAACTAAAAAGAAGTTTTAGCACGCAACAATTTACCTTAACGTCCCGCAAGTTTGAATTCGAACCCAAAAACTGGTGAGAAAGCTATTTCTATAGCCACAAGTATGTATTTTCACCAGGATCGAAGCAAACAATTTGAGAATCATATTTTTTTTTTATTATATATATACTCTGGTTTTCTTACTTGGCTGGTTTTGATCTAAGAACTGTGCCCAGCCTGTACTCCTACTTTTACTATTTGGAGTGAAGTTCAAGTTTCATTTATGTACTAAAATTCCAAATCAAGGGCATTACTTGTCTATATGGTTATATAGTGTGAATTTGGAAGGCTATGATGATGCTCAAAATAGATTTTACCACGACGCGACTGGCGTACGAGGCGTCATAATTTTCCCCGAGATGTACTTGGTAAACTCCTTACGGATATTTTTTTTGTGTCAATTAGCGCAAGCTACTATATCTGGTATGTGGCTTGTATATTTTTAAGCGATCGATCATTATATTATGATATATTGTTAAGAATACAATCTTTAAAGCGTCAATAGATGATAGTTTGAAACTAGTTTTAATTGCTTATATAATATAACGCGCTCTATTCTTCGCGCGAAACCTCAATGACACTTATTGTCTACAGTATACCAAGTCTTTAATGTATACAGTGCATGCAAGTTTTCACTTACAGGTTAATTATAAAAATAATTTTTAAAACTTTTGATTCCTAACACAGATGATATCACTAATGATGTAAGTAATCATATCATATTCTAATTATGAATGCATTAAAACGAAGATAATTACTGTATTTGAAATCGCATATACAGTATATGAAAAAAATTATTTTTTTACTTTAAATTTTTATTTATAACTTAATTATTAATGAATAAAATAAATATAACGTATATAAACATAAACATAATTATTTTTTTTCGATAAATTGTAAAAAACAACAGAAATCTTAAAAGGCTTTATAATTTATTAATAATAAAGTTTGACGATATGAATTATTTAAACCATATTTAGAACAATCGTCTTTGTAAAATGAATTTGTTGTAATAATTATTAAATTTATTAAAATTTCTACAAATAATTTTTGAAATCAAAAATAACTTTAATAACTTTTACTTGAATTTTTATAATAGATTATAATAAGCTTATTT